TGTAGCTTTGCGCGAAATTCAAAACAAACCAAGCAGTTTGACTCATTAATAAAACTAATATCTAATAATAGAGACTTGCTATTATAAAAGCAGTTTTTACAGGTAATTCATAACATGTTTTTAAGGATTTCTAAACGTTTACTAAAAGGTTCTTTTACACTTGAACAGCTGCTAAAGTTGGTGAATTCTGCTTGAACGACGAGCAGTGCCATCTGGCGAGCAAATATAGTTTTTGTAATTACATAATTCCATGGATATACGGGAAGTGTGAATGTCTTAATGGTTACCTGGCAAAAAATGATCATCGATGTTTTCCTGGTAAGTCATCCATAAAAATATTAATTTATGCAATAAATAACTTTGCAATAAATTATAACTTGTTTTAATTTCCATGAAAAATAAAAAAACGACAGTTTAAGTTAGAAAATATTATCAGTGCCATTTCAAAACAAAATTTGAATCAAGTATGTGAAAATAAAAATGTGTAGGCTTCTTTTCTAGAAGGGGGATATGATTGGTTGAAATTCGAAAATCTGGAGGAGGAAATAACAAACTAAATAATTAAAAGCAGTTTAAATAAAACATCCATTTAGAATTCCACACAGGGCATTGAATTTTGAAACCGCAAAGATTAAGTTTTTAGACATATTTTTAAACGTTTAATAAATATTTGGGTGCAAATTTACAGACATACACACTGCCAGCTATTGTACACTAACAATGAAAGTGAGCTGTAAACGATGACTTGGTTAACTTAAACACCATACTAAACGCACTTATGACTAGCCCTTTGGGAAATACTTTCCAGCTACCTAACCATATCATATGTATTCCAGAATTGAACAGTACTTGTGAGAATGATGAAGAGTGTGTAACACACGCTTCCTTCTGTAAGCACAGAAACACAAGTCACAACTCCGTGTGTTCTTGTACGGATGGCTTTATGATGTCAACAAATGGAATAAGTTGTGAGCCGCTAATTAAAGGTAAGAACCAGCAAGCTCTATTCTATATGATTCAAGGTTTCAAATACAGTTAGTCAGGCAAAACCGATGTAACATCTTCAATATATATAGGAATAAATATCAGATATATCAAAACCTTATGTACATATTATGTTTCTCTTTGTTTTCATGATTTGCGTTTATGTGAGCTTAAAAACTTGTTCGTCGAATTTTTTTAAAGCGCATTCACGAATCACAAGTAAAATTAAAATTACAGTAAGTTAAAATTTATGTCTGTTTGTTTTCTCTGTTCTCGTTTTGTTACAAGATACTTAAGAATGCCCTAGAATTGGAAGTATTAAATTTAAAACTAAACTAAACATACCAAGTTATTTTTAGTCACTTAAATAGTTTTAAAATATTTTAAAAAAGGTACATAAAACAGAGATATACCTCTATGGTTCTTGTAACACACAGTACAAGTACGAAATGAAAATATTAGCTAGTCTAAAACATACTATATTCCAAATCGCTTGCATGCGACCTGTATGTCTTGAAATAGCTAGTTATGACCCTGTAAAACATGTCAGTTGTTTAAGATACAGCTGGCAATAGCTAGTTATGACCCTGTAAGCTAGCTGTATCTACAAATACTTAAAATGCTTTACAGAATCATAACTAACTATTGTTAGCTGTATCTGTAAACACTTGACATATTTTACAGAATAATCACTAGCTATTACCAGCTGTATCTATAAACACTTGACATATTTTACAGGATCATAACTGGCTATTGCCAGCTGTATCTATAAACACTTGACCTGTGAAAAAAAAAAAAAAAAAAACCAATCATTTTACAAAAAAATATCTAACTATATTGTACGTAGACCGAATCCAAATCTAGGTTTTGTAGAGAAACTGTAGTAGTTGCTTGCCCCTCTCAGAACCAACCATCATTTTTTCCCCAATTTGTCGTGCCAATCATTTATCTTACGACTTCCAACAGCGAATTCTCTAAAACCAACAATAACAAAAATTAAAATAACATTAAAAAGGAGCAACAGGCAAGCTGAAAAACCTTTCAAGACCATAGGTATTCAGTTTCCTCGCTGCTAAAGGTGTTTTGGCCCCTAAACGCAATAACATCTGAGAAGGTTGGGCTTGCTCAGCAAAGCTTGATGTCACACGACTGTATTTGTTACTACTGTGATCTACAACTTCCACATAAGTTCCATTTTGGGAATTTCTGATAAAGGCCAACCAACAACCAGCGTAGTTTACGGCTGAACGTGTGTATATTTAAAAACCCACTGTAAATCAATATTTATCGATCAGGTTTGGATTCCTTATATATTAGAATGAAACATAATTCATTTCTGAGAAGCTCAGACTAACGTCGTACAAAACACGTTGCAGCATTTACCATTCTAAACGCAATCACACTATCGGCACAGTTGGTAATGGTTTCTGTTGTTGTTTTTTTCTGTAGTTATTGAGATTAGGCATTCACTGCGACTTTATATCTAACTGTGCTCATTTATGGCCGGCTACAGCTTGGCGATTTTAACTTACGTCGAGTTTAGAACAGTAACTCTTTGTGGGTTAACCAGATAAAGATAAGTAAAAACCAGTTTGTTTTTTTAGTAAATCGCACTCTGTATAATTTAAATGCCTTAACTGTCTGGTGTTATTTTGAGTAATACTTTCGTATCTGTCTTTTATTTGGTGCCAATTTATAAATTTCAGAAGAAAATGAAGAACTTTTTCAAAACAAGACAGACGAAGTTATCACTAAAAAGAGGGCTCCCCATCATAAAGTTTCGCTTGGTAAACCATGTGATTCTAGTGGTCAGTGTCAAGCAAGAGATCTTCACAGTGCCTGCATCAGTGGAGTTTGTGAGTGTGTTTCAAAGTCTTCCAGGTGTAACGCAGAATTCACAGGTAAATATGTTAAACAAACATCGTAACCTGGATACTCTCCATTATTCTTGTCTTCGTAGTTGTATTATTTAATATAATACACAATAAATATTTGAAATAGATAAAAATAATATTCTCAAGTCCGTTTTATTTTACTAAACGCGTCTTACCAAAAATGTGTTTCTTGTTAAGCAAATGCTGTGAAAAATCATTCGTTAATGAAATCCTCAGGGAATGATGTATATTTTCTTAGCAAAACTAATTTACTGGAATATTTATATTTCAAAGTGTTCTGATTCATGTCTGTTCCCCTTTCTTTGTTGTTGTTGTTGCAATGACTCACGTATTGCAACCCAGTTCTGGAAATCTTAGGATTAGGTTTTATTACGCTAGTAAACTTAAGCTGTATTATTTTATGTAGATATCATAGGAAGTCGTTGTTTTATTTATTTCATATAACAGTTTCGTGACACAATTATAGACGTTTCTCTTATGTTTATAGTAATAGGTTTGGTAAAGTATAAAGACATATTTTTTATGTGACAGAAAATGTCATCTGCTTAAATATGTTTATGTATATATATATATAACATTAACATAGGGATATGATCGACCTGTGTGAATAACTAATTAAGTGATGTAATTAGGACGTCCTTACAATTTGATTGTGTTCCGGCCTTTTAAGTAAAGAGTAGTAATTTTTTTGTAAGTACCCATACACAATATCTTGAAAAAGATCACTAGGAATATTCTTAGCATGACATTTTCGCTAAAGAGTTGAAGCTTCAAATAATAATTATTGGCCAGTCTGTTGAGAATTTCATAATATTGCTGTCAAAAGTAATGATGACAAAAACTCAATGTTTAGTTCTATTCTCTTGTGAAAAAATAAAAATAAAACAAAAAACAACACTTGTTTTATAAAAAACATAACTTTTGCTGTGGAGTATAACTCTTGTGTTTGAATGGCTGCAACACATGTTAAAGCTAGAAACAATATAATTTAAGTTTAAAACAACTCAGACACAAATATGTTGGCTAATGCACAATATTTGTGTGGAATTTTAAACAGCTTATACATACATAATAATATTAGTAAACTAACGAATTTAAAACATAAGTTAAAGTACTAACACTGCATTAAAACAATATTTCATATATTACCTATTCGGACGATCAATTCGTTTCCACCATGCGTTGCTTCTGCACGGTTCAAACTAGGATTCATAATGAAAATGTGACTTCATAACACAACAATGTATTTAAATAAACACAATTTAGAATTGAAAATCGCTCGTAATTTGTGTTGTTAAAAAACACAAAAACGTACGTGTTTATATCGCTGTAATAATATATTGTGTTATAGTTCCCATAGCTCTGTGTTTAGCGAACATAATTTTTGTATTGCTTTGAAATAACACAGTGTTTGTGTTGATTTACAATACTAATTTTTTTACTGCGTAATGTAATATAGTAATTATTTTGTCCCTTTTTGTTCTTAATATTTTTTCTAATTAGATATTAATAATGATAATAAATGTTTCAGGTTTCCTACTTTGACATAACTATGTAGTTTAAAATTGTTTCTAAGATACTTTAATCAATCAAGACAAACTGATTGGATTCATTTATGATAATCCAGGGTTAGATCTCGTGTAGTTGTAGAAATCTTATCTCTAAGTGAAAACATGTAAAGTATTAGATCATATGAACGCGACAAGTAAAAACGGAAACTTGTTTATGCTTGTTAACTACATATGTTTAGGGTTAAAAAAACACTTACTGAAATTTGCACTTGAAAACTAGATCAGTATAAGTCTGTACGTAGGAGAACTTATGTTAATATTTATGCTTGATAAGTACAGTTGTACATATGTTTAGGGCTAGAAACACAATGAACGAAAAACATACTTGTAAACTAGAACATATTAAGTTTGTACACAGAATAAATTAAGTTCACATTTAAGCTTTTTAGTTGCAGTGATTTATGGATAGGATTAACTTGAGGGTACATTATATTTATTTCAGCATTAAAAATATAATTGTTATTTTCTCATTTTAGGCTGTCTTAATAACACCTTCCAGTGTACAAGTGGGCACTGCATATCGTGGTATTTTGTTTGTGATGGACTAAATAACTGTCCAGATGGAAGCGACGAAGACAATTGTGAACCAAAGCGTAAGTCACGAACTGCACGTTTTCACTCTATGTGGTATACAGGTGGTAAAAAACTTGGGTTGTATAGTTAAGTTTCCAACTACAGCAATTTAATAGCATAGCTTGTATTAGCGAAATGGAAGATTTTAATTTAGCGATTTATATACTTAGATTATTTCTAACTCTACAGAAATTCCCATGTTTTGATGGCAACTTCGAACAAGAGAAAATCTGATTGACCAATTTCTGATATATAAGAATAGGGTTCGATCTCACTCATCAAAAACCCAATGAAACTTTCAAAAAGTTATTTTAGTTTTGTTCAAAACTCTTCCCAAAGTAAGACTACTTTTACTGAAGGTTATTCAATTTTGACCTTGATTTGTACTATAAAAATGGTCTTCAACATGTTATGACATCTAGAACATTCTGCGCACTTAGTACAAACAATAATAACGTTATTCAACTATTTCTTATGACTTATTAATAATTTTTAAGTTTGTCGATTATTGAAAGATCTAAGACAATGAAAGTAACTAGAAAGAGAAGAATAGAGTATCTTAGTCGTATTACTCCTTCCGCTTCGCGGTTTTCTTGTCCTATTTTGATTGGTTCTCCTTCTTACTGCTCTAACTTCAATGGGAACCCCGTAGTGACTGCGTTCTCAATGTTTACATTTCATGCAAACATTAAAGCTTCCAACCTTGCACATGTAATATGGTTTTCGTACATTATTCCAGTGTATATTGAGTAGGTCTTCTATAGATAAACTACTTTGCAAGAAGCAATGGACTTTCACCAAAATCTTGACACAAATGGGGGAATGGGAAGAATTCATTTTCAAATCAAGATTTTCCCTGCAACTGGTGAACAAATGAAATCAGAAGTTGTATTTTTCGAAAGTTATAAAACAAAGCTATTGTTGAAAGGTAGTGTTCTTGATTTTTATCGTTTGCCGGATATTGGGATGACCAAAACAGCCACTAACTTCTGTACGATCGACTCCTAATTTTAGAATTAAATAATAGTTAACAGAAGATCCAATTACGGGAAAATAAAAATAAAACATTTTTCTTAGTAATCACGTGTCACTAACAGAGATGGGTTTATGTTCTTTAATAATCTAAAAATTCACAATGTTTATGCATTATTTAATGATGACGCAACGAAATCAAATGCAGGACCCACAGACGAGAACTTGGTTGTGTCAAATATGTCTAACGTGGAGGATTATTACGAGCGCTATTCTCAAAACTCAAATATTTTGTTTGTCACATTTATTGCTACTTATAAATTTTGAACGCTAGTACTCGTCGAAAGACACCACCAGCCACTACAGTGGTATAAATCTAATCACCACAATAATTCTAAAACTATACTTAAAGTGGAGTTCAGAAAATTACCAATTTCACTTATTACAGAGAGAACCCGAAATTATAATTAAATAATAAAAAGAAATCGCCACGAGATAGTAAATTTTTAAATACAAGGAATAGAAAATAAACTGAGATAGACGAGTTATGAGAAGAAGACGAGAATTAGGCTTAAATGGAAATGGGGATAAATTTGCCTAAAAATTAATTATATTTAAACTTTATGAGATAAAAACAATGAAGGAACACAATAATAGGTGAAAGAACATGAGAGAACCTCGCTCATTACTTGTACCCAACTCAATATTAATCACATAGTGGTATTCAGGTTTTATTATGTTAATTCATCAATGGCGAAGTACCAACGATCCTACCAGCAAGAGATATTCCAATCATATCACACAGAGTTATCCTGTTACTATAAGCAGGCTTTTTTATTTGCTAAATTACATATGTGGGATTCTAAACTGCTATTTTCTCATGACTTTCTCATTCACTTTCATGCATCGTTGAAGCTCTTCATTCATCTTTCAAAGGCGAAAAAACTATTGTAGGAAAAGTTTCGAACGTTGTAAATCTTTTATCCTACTCTTCTAAAACAAAGTGCTTAGATTTCCATACAGTCTTGGCGAGTGAAAATTTTGGATTCCTCTTCATACTGTTAACAATGCTAATTTTAACTAGAATTACAATAACAGATACTCAGGTAGAAATAAAATATATCTATTACTAACATTCATTACTTAACTCATAATTTAAAATTATTTGAACTTTATACCTTATTTTTCTATTTAAAGTGAAACCCTAGTGGTTAGGTCACTTGACTCACAATCTACGAAACTCGGCGCATATCGTACTCGTCTTTTCAGCCGTGGAGGCATTATAATGTGACGTTCAATACCACTATTAGTTGGTAGAGATAAGTGACAGATAATTTTAGTAGGTTTGCCACAAAACAAACAAGCTATCATAACTGTATCCTGATTTATTCTGTGTCTTTCCTACTCTTACAAGATAACAGTATACACATTAACACATTCCATTACAAGGCTCAAACTGTCTGACGCACCATGAACAAAAGTTTTTCTACTTTATGCCTATCTCAGCTTCTAAACATAAGGCAGTTAACTTTTAGGTTATTTAAAAAAAAAGATAACAAGATTAATAATGGGAAAAAGAGAATTTAGTAAGAACATTATCAATATATATATATATACATTATAAAAGAATGCCATGTGCTGCACATCTATATATACACAATAGTCTGTCTGTCACGTTCTGTATCTCCTGAACTGTTAACAGGGAAAACGTGTATATATCAATATGCTTCCTTTCTAGAATACATTACAGGAAAACTTATTTTTTTTACAGTTTTACTATTCTTAAAATTTTATATCGATACGTCAGTCTTCATAAGTGATCGGAAAAAACGCATAAAAAGAGGAACGTGTTTGAGTATATATTTGTTGTTATTCGGTCTATATACATGTTTTTTTCCTGCCGTTGTTATTGTATACATGAATGGTTTTATTGCATCATGTCGAATAAATTGATTTGAATTTAAATGAATAATTTCCCTTTGACTCTTCTTATAAAAATGACAACTGTTAAAAACGCTCACTTCCGTAGCGATCTTTTCTTGTGCTGAATAAAATGACAAGGAACAGTGGCATCTAGCGGAAACAAATCCCTGTGGCTACTTAGCGAACCTGAGTGCTATATTGTGCTGAATGCACCCATTGCATCGAAACCCAAACATTTTTGCCAACAATGTATATACTATCCAATATTGATAGTATTTTGTAACAATAAAAAAGTAATTGACTCACAAGATATTTGCTTAAATAATGTGTTTAAAAATCCTATGGTTTCTGGACCCCATAGGATTTTACAAAATTAGTACTTTTAGATTTTTATTTCCGTCAGTTTCTAATTCGTTATAGAGTTAATCCTATTTTTTTGAAACTCAATTTGTGCGATGATGTCTATGTACTTTAATAATTAATCGTCTTTCCCTGGTTTTCTCTTCTTCAGATACAAAAAGAGGACTCGATAAGCATGAGTAAGGTAAAAAATAACCACACTTTATATTTAATGGAACAATTTATGATTAAGTTGATGGTGTTAGTTTGGAATCTAAGCTCGCACTTGCAATAGGAAATATATTTTGAATTTGCATGAAGAACAGTGATTGAAGGAGAGTTCTATTTGCTATAGAAGATATGGATATTTTCTGCCATTTTTCAGTCACAAGGCTAATGATGTGTTTGCAATTAAGCACATAGATAAACAACGAACTATCTGTGCTCTGCCCACCACGGGTATCGAAACCCGGTTTCGAGCGTTGTAAGTCCGAAGACATACCGCAGTGCCACTGGAGACCAAGTCTAAGGATGTTTTTTTTTTTAAGTATATGACTAACAAACATTTGAACATTAATATTATAGTTTAGTATGAATAAAAATCTAGCTTATTGTTCTTGGACATTTTGGTGCATAACAGACACGCTATGTTTGAAGTACGTCTAAACTAAATTTTGTTTTCAGGACTTTATTTCCAATTTAGCAGTTTTTGTTTTCGAAACATTTTAGTGGGGTTTCATTAATGTACTTTCTAACTGTACTTAAAGAATTGTAAGCAGTTATTCTACGTTGCATGATCAAATAAACTACGTAATATTAGTGAGATGCTTAGCTTATAGATTAGCCCTAAAGTTCTGAAGATCGGTGTGGATAAGAAAATGATAGTACGACAATTTCTAGAACAACAGTCACAGTATATAAGAAATATGTTAGTTTGGATCTTAAGCAGAGTTCATCCGCAGTTGAAATTCAATGTACGTAAAACCTATTGCAAGAACGAAAAAAAAAACATTTTAAAGATGTAATACATAATAATAAGAGATCTTTGCCATCCATAGGTTTCCATGATTCTCTTGTGGAGGAGAATATGTCGTCTCTACCATTAGGAAGTTTGAAAATTTAACAAGCATTACATGACGGGTTGTAACAAAATGCAACATCTCTATCACTAATAAAAATTGTGATAGTCGAGCTAAGGATTGAGAATTCTTGAAAGTTTGGCAAAAACTCCAAATAGGAAGCCAACATTAAATCATCAAAATCATCAGCGACGCCACTCCTCAAGTTGTAAGCTATTAAAAAAGAAATGATTCTCCTCAAGACAACCTTGTAGCACCCCATACATGACCAAGAACATGGTTTGTTTTCTTAAGTTGGATTTGTTTGAAGTTAAGCACAAAGCTCCACAATGGGCTATCTGTGCTCTGCCCACCACGGGTATCGAAACCCGGTTTCTATCGTTGTAAGTCCACATATATACCGCTGTGCCACTGGGAGGTTTGTTTTCTTTAAAAAAATACCCATGCTAATTGGATGTCAGAAGTAATTTATACCGACAAAATAATTATACGTCACTGAAAATAACATTGCCACTTTAAATAAAGATTTGTATTCTAATGCATTTCTGCTAATATGAACTATATTTTATCAGAATTAGGCAATTAAAACAATAATATATATTTATATATGTATGTATACCATTAACCATCACTCTATAAACTTTTAAGTGCATAGAAATTAATTTTAAACCAAAAAAAGTTTAGAAATGTTTTCTATCAGCATACAGAATTTAAAATCTGTTAAAATTGTTTGCTAAAACAAAACATTCAACTATTTAAAACTCAGAGAAAAGTGCAAGTTAAAATAATAAAACAAACTGACTTAATTAACTTTAGATACTCCAATAGGAAGTTAAATCCGCTTCATAAAAGAAAAAAGGGGTATGGCTTCTCATTTCTACCCTTAAATATCATTATATATACACCTTACATTTCATTTTATATTTATTTCCCTACAATAGCATGGCCAGATGGTTAGGGCGATCGACTCGCAAACATGCTCGCCCTTTCAGCCGTGGGTGTGTTATAGTGTGACGGTCAATCCCACTATTCGTTGGTAAAAGAGTAGCTCCAGAGTTGGCTGTGAGTGGTGATGACTAGCTGCCTTTCCTCTAGTCTTTCACTTCTAAATTAGAGACTGCTAGCGCAGGTAGCCCTCGTGTAGCTATTCGCGAAATTAAAAACAAATTTCCCTACAAGTGTTGAAATCTAAGTGTGAACAACCTTGTTTGGAGCTAAGAAACTCTTTTCATTTGTTTGAAAATACTTCACCAAGACAGAGTTATGAGAATTTATCTATGTTGAGCACAGAGTTACGCAGTAAGCTATCTGTGCTGTTCCCACCACACTTATCGAGACCCTGTTCTTAGTGTCATGATCCTACAGACTTCCCATTGAGCCACTGTGGGTAATAATTGAAATAATGGAAAAAAAGTAAATAAAAATAGATAGAGAAAACCGCTAGGTTTATTTCGAGGTTGGCGGGACGACATGCTTGTGCAGCATTCACCATGTAGGTTTACTAAATACGGGGAATCAAAAATTACTTGCGACGTTTAAATCGCTTTCGTTTAGTGTTGGCTTCACGTAGGAAAAAAAGTGTAATGGTTGCTAAACTTAAATCGTTCGATCAGTTGCTTATCCACTTAAACTAGACTTTTTGGAAGTCCGGTTGCGTACGTCTCCAATTCGACTCAGTCAGCTCCTCACACGGACTCAAGACACCAAACAGTCAGACAGACGAACAACTGGGTTTAAAAACTTCTTTTTACTGATCGATAATTAGTCTTATTAAGAAAGTAAGATGCAAGAGTTATTGGCTTATAAAAGTATGTTTCTTCAGAATTATTTCATCAGTCATGTAAAAACCTATGCACATTTCAGAGAATGTGCACAATTGATAAATCTTATATGTATATAATCAAGGCGATGATATCGTGAAAACTGCCACTGGAGTTTAACCTGCGTTGCGCCAGGCCATTGACTTCTTGGAAGAGGATTAGGATAGAAAACGTGATTATGAGCATCCGTTGAGAATTATTTGCATATGTACATACACTGAATACGTTATTGCTATTAATGCAGAGACCGGTTCTGTTCTTGATGGAACGTCTCCAAGATGTTTATGTTTTCTTTCCCGACTTACACTGTCAAGATTAATACACGAACAAAACAACAGAGGACGAGAAATAATGATGGTCTTAAAAGAAACAAGAACATAACAATATACATCCCTGATATGCACAAAAGTTTAACCAAATTTACTTGTTATCAAAAATCTAACTACTGCGAATATATTAACACCAAGAGAGATCTTGTAAATACAGCTGAACTAGTGCACTCAAAATGTTGGGGGCTGGCATCAGGAGCGTGCACAAGAGGGAACAAGCAGTTCCCAATAACTCAAAGCATACGGACTCCATGGCGAGTGTATGCTGTTTATTTCTATGCATATGTGTGCATGTGTTTCCTTAACACGACCCCCCCCCCCCCCCAATGGGGATAAAATTTAAATTTCTGCGCATGCTCCTGGCTGGCGTCACCTAGCACTGAACAGGTAAACACGATATTACTAAAGTGACATTTTCAGATAGATGTGTTGTTTCCAGAACTAAAACCTTCTTTTGTTGTTGTTTTTATTGTGAATCACTAAAAATGACAGTATTTTCTCAGTGCATGAGCTGTTTTTAGAACTCAAGCATTTTTATTGTAGTCATCAATTTCGGCTTAAAGTCTAAATAACCGAATAGAATTTGTATCTTCTAAACGTTTTACAGAACACATGTTATTATAAGAGTTTTATTATTATTAAATAAAATTATGTAAAAGTTTAACTAAACTTGAAAAATCACCAGGGTAAAAATTCGGGCCTTTGCTTATTTTTTTTAAAGAACTTGTACACTTCGTCATACCGAAATGTTAGAAAGCTTAAACATATTCACTGAGCGACATCTACAATTTCATAACATGCTGCTAAAATAATAGCTCTGTACTTTTCGTTATCACAGGATGCTCAAAAGAGGCCTTCCAATGTGATGATGGGGCTTGTTTGTCCAGATCTGTTCTCTGCAATGGTATTCAGGAATGTCAAGATGGCAGTGATGAATTTCACTGTAACAAAGGTACGTACAGTAATAAATAAGTACACTTTAACTTTTCCGTGAGCGAGAATGTAATGATGACAGTTAACGAGTTTTAGTTTCACATGGTAAATATAATATCTTACAATAGAAAGCCTGAAATAGCAGGATGATAGTATTCATTGCTTTAAGTATGTAGAGTAACTGCATTAATTAAACGAGCATAACGAAACGATATGACGCGTATAACACATGGGGACTGTGTTAGACAGGCATAATGGGACATCTACGAAACATTGTTGCTGTATTAGACGTGCATAACGAAATGATAAGGACATCTACGATACATTGTTGCTGTATTAGATGAGCATAACGAAATGATGAGGACACTTGTAATACATGGGTAAACATTGCAAATTACTAGTGCCAAATGTATTGAAAGTGGTATTTATTTAAAATTAACTTTGCAGAATATAAGAAGTTGAAGTGTCGATGACAATAACATGCTTTATACAAAATGTGTTCTTACAGAATAAAAATTGTTGAAGTGTCGATGACAATAACATACTTTATACAAAATGTGTTCTTACAGAATAAAAATTGTTGAAGTGTCGATGACAATAACATGGTTGTTACAAAATATAAGTGGCTGAAGTATTTAAGACGTTTGTTTGAAATTCCAGAATATAAGTGTCTAAAGTGTTTAGCACACTTGTTTAAAATCGAGAATATAAGTGGTTGAAGAATCTAAATATTGTAACACGCTTGTTACAAGATCTAAACATGTTACACTCATAAAATTGCTTTTCTCTAAATGCAGATGGGTCGTGTGACCACAGGGCTTTCCAGTGTGACAACGGTCAGTGCTTACCTGAGTATGCCTTTTGTAACGTAATTACAGACTGTGAAGATGAAAGTGATGAAAATCCAGAAGTGTGTACGCACGGTGGGTTTCTTAGTTGTTTCTTAGTAATCTCATTTACGATTGATAAAAACGAACAGAAAAAAACATGTCGAGTCTTGAAGTTCAGTATCTGTATTTAAATATAGAATTTTGCTTTTAAGCATTTTCTTTTGTTCTGTGATCGTATTTACTCCAAGCTCATTTCGACTTAAAAGAAATAACAAACAATAAACTATTTTTTTATTGTATAGCTTTCTTATTTATTGGTCTGTGTACAGAATGCTTCGAAATCTCTGAACAAAAATGGACAGGGATAAATAAAACATTGATATGTTTCAATCTTTGCTCCCAGGCTAACTATAATGGGCAAATGTTGACAGCTAGGTTAACATAATATGCCTCATGTCAACTTGTTAAACGCAATTAGTAACTGATTCAATGTGTTATAGAGAATTGACTTATTTGATTTAGAATGTGTGGTGTGTCAAAGTGTAGAAAAGAAAAAATGATACTAGTGTGGAGTTGAAATGTGTGTCATAATTGTCGTAATAAAGTTGAAAAAAACAGTTAATTTTTGGAATATTGAAATAATAAATGTATCAAACATTGTCGTGGTAAACTTTTCTTATTCAGACAAGTAAGAGAATGGGTTTAGACTAAGAGATATAGTTATCTGTGGATAAAATGTTGATCATGTGTTTTAAAAAAGAGATATATGCTTGAGCCACTCATATAAATTTTTGCCATTCAAAAGTCCATTTCTAAGTTAATGAACGAGGGATTTTGCCTGTAACTCTCAGCTGTGCACTAGTTTTTCAATAGTTTTCATCCATGTTAAGAAACTTTAACAAAAGCTTGTAAGAAACAAATGTTTGCACGTGGAATGAGACGAGTTGGAAGTCATTGTCTTGAGTACTACAGTCAAGTTTAGCAGGTTATAAATGGAAAAAGAAAAATAATTCAAGGCGCAACTTCGTGGTCAATTATCAGTTTTGGTTTCACAAGAGGTCGAGCAGAAGTTAAGAACGTGAATCTCTGGAAAAATCTTTATTAAAGAACATAACAGAGCTTTGAGAATAACAGAGGCTTTGGAGACTGCATAAGATATAAGATACAAAATGGATTCATTAAATTCCGGGAAAACCATTCAACGTATTAAAATAAGTATAGGATAACTAGAATAATACGAAAGTATTTTGATATTTTGTTGACGAGTTTTATTCCAGTGTTGCCATTTATATTAAGATAAACATAATTCTTTTGAGTATTTACAATTATAAGCATACTATACTTTTACTAATATAAGATTTTCATGAACACTAGTAGAGTGGATGACATTATAGCAATATATATAGGTTACATAAAATTGTGAGCGAAAATTTGATGAAGTTGTACGATATTAAATTCGAACTCTATAATTTCAGCTACATTTAGAATATTAGGTAAAGTTCAAACAGTATTGTATATCCCGACAAATATGCTACAACAATTTAACAGATTACCTTATTTACAACACTATTTGTTGCTTTTCATAACGACTTATAATAGTACACTAGTATAATTAACAACATTTTGAGAGCTACCCATCGCACCATTGTTGACATCAAGTTTGTGAAGACAGTCTGTGAGCTCCTCCTACCCTTATGACCACCCTTACTACTTTGTCTTAGTGAACGAATCTGTATCAAACAAATAAGGCATAATTGTGATCGTGGTGTTACAACTGTATGAAGCTTGTTAAACAGAACATTAAAATAAAACTGGAAAAACTATAAATCGCTATTATAACCAATCTCGGATTATTGATTCAAGACATTCTGTTTCTCATCAGAATATAGTACATTCTCTACAGACATATTTTCATGATATCCCAATCACAAAACCTTTAACTTTCGTACCACTAGAAATTTCCCAACTGTCAATGCTACAGCCACTGAGAGAAACCTCAGTATACCTAAAAATATCATGTACCACTATACATAGGTAATTTTATTTCCATATATATAGATAATTTTATTCGATTTTCTTTACTGTGTTTATAAAGCTATTAGATAGTACACGAAAATAGAGAAACGTTCTTCTTACAAGTGATAATAGCATATTCATATGATTAAATACTTCTTTTATATATTGGACTCAAGAAAAAATAAAGTAGCTTTAGAAACTTCAATGTAAATTTTTAAATGCAAGCGGTAACGCATTTTGAAACCAGTTAATACATTTTGAGCTGAATCATTTATCTAGATGTTTTGCTGCACTGAAGATTAACAACACTTCTTGGTCTTTTAAAGGTTTCTAAAAAATAAAAATAAAGCAACTTCGATTTTTTTTCATGGACAGCTGACACTTGTCCTAGTGGGGTTTTCCAGTGTAATAATGGTCACTGTCGGTCTACAGCTATCCTCTGTAGTGGTCAAGATGGTTGTGCAGATAGTAGTGATGAAGATAGGTGTGAAGTTTGCTGTAAGTATTTTAGTTAAACAGCACAGTACAAGAAATGTTTGTAGTTAATAAAAATATACCTTGAAGTTGAGTTAATGTTTCATTTAATTTTGTGACAATTTAACCTTATTATTTAGTATAACTTATACCATCAGAAAGTATTTGTAGTAGGTTTGTTTGTTTAAACACAAAGCTGCCCAATGAGTTATCTGCGATGAACAGCTAAAATTTGGAACAAAATCCAGAATTTTTACATTATAAGCCCTCAAGCATAAATGGAATACGAAATCCGGCATTTCTGCAAATTTCTTGTTGTATATCATTTTGAAATATCTGTTCTCTTTTTAACACTAATGTTACGATTTTTCGTTGTTTTTAGATTTGACACTTGTAGCTCACTTAATTTTTTGGATGATATCCAGCTGATTTCGTTTTCGAAACATATCGCGAGCGTAAATAAATCCTAACTGATTTAAGATTGAAATTGTACGATATGTTGATTATATGTATTATTAACAAATCAAAAAAAGGCACTTAATATGTTTATTTTTTTCATTCCAGATTGTGACAAACCATAGACTTTAGTTTTTGAATTCGGGTTAGGGCAGAATGGAAACTAACTATGCTTCAGCTTTTTTGCTTGGTCGATTGTTGTTCAGCGCCATCTGGAAACAAATCTTGGACATTTCAGATCATAATCAAGTGTTTGGTTCTTAAAGTTTTTATAATATATGGAAAATCTTTGAGTGGTTAAAGTACAGTTAAAATACTGTACTAATTTCATCTTCTTTGAAACTGATTGTGACCATGAGAAACTCCTTGTATCAGCACTAGTTTGGTGGTTAGCTTTACTAAATTAATACACAAGTATTAAACAATAACGCAGGTGAATTTAACAGTGTTTTGTTCTTGTTTGTTTGTTGTTGTTGTTTTTGGTCTGCAGTGCTGCTTTTGCTAAAGAGGAATCGCCATTTATCAAGCCGTATTTATTTTTATTTTTTTGCGTGTGTATATAAATAAATACCTTGAATCCTGTTTTTTTTTAGAATTTTAAACCACAGAACGTGTACACTTGGTGGTTGTTAAACAATGAATATGTATTTTTAAAGCATTCTTGAAATGGAAACGATATTTTGACTTGATCACAAAATTTAATTATATGAAAGTTAATCTACAGACCAACCTTAAAAATCATACGGACTTAATAAACTAATGGTCCTCTAGTAGTATTGTTAGACCTAAACTTTGTCGTGAAAAATAATCATTACACAAGATCACATGAGTAGTGATACTGATACTTGAACTGTTTTACTGCTTTATGTAAATGAATATTTCAAATGTTTCTTCTTTTCCAATGTCTAATTACAATTTAGTTTGTTTGTTTTCGTAGATGAGCACCAAATAGAACATTTTTATTTATTATATAAGAATATTGATAGTTTTTGATTAATTATAACCAAACGAAATACTGTTGTGATACCGCTAAAAATCACCAAATGTTAGTATTATTATAAGGTGTTAGCTGTTTTTTTAGAACAAACAACTAGCAGATATTTATAGCGTAAATCATCCCCAAGAACTGTTTTACTTGTTGTGTACAATAGTTACTTTTTGAAGAACAGCAGCATTATAGGAACAGTTAAAAGTTATAAAAATTATACGCTCACTATTGGATTAAGAAAATCATCATTCTTATGATTCATTAACTTAAATTAAATGTTGTAAATTAAACCTGAGGTAAGCCAAAAAACAATGTATGTATTACCAATTCATTAAAGATTAAGTTAAATCACTATTTTGTTGAAATTACATCTTGGTGACGGCACTGGACTCGCAATCTGAGGGGGCACAGGTTTGAGTCCCGTCCATCGAATATGCTCACCCTTTCACCCGTGAGAGCCAATCCCACTATTCGTTGGTAAACAGTAGCTCAAGAGTATGCGCTGGGTGATGTTGACTTGCTACCTTCCATCTTGTCTATCATTTAAAAAATAGGGACAGTTAACTCAGATAGCCCTCAAGTAACTTTACGCGAAATTCAAAACAAACAAAGAAGAACAGCAAACATTTCAGGACTTCAGAGTTTCAAAGATTAATTATGATGACGGATTACTTTATATATCTGCCTGCTTATCTCTTAAATTATTTTCAACCATTGACAACAAGTATATTGATATCTCATCAACCTACTAATTATATATATATATATATATATATAAC